TGTTTTCTTTTCTAGCAGTGTGTAGTGTTTTGCATAGATTGATTTGACTTGTAGTAAATTGTGTTTATTGAACAGCTAGTGGTTTATCACTTGGACCAGATTCACCCTCCTTTTGGTGACATTTGAATAAACAGAGACAATATTTCTTTGGTTTGTAATTAATAGCTCTCCTGATAGCCTACCCTAAGTCACTAAACTGATGAGAATAACTGGATTTTAAAAGCCGGTCCAGAAGCCAGTGTGAGAGGGCTAAAATTCTGGTGAGTAAGCAGGTTATAGTTATAATTATTTAACCAAGAACATTCAATTGATTTTACCCTTGATTTTGAATGATTTATCCACTAACTACATCTCCAGTTCTAGTTAATCATATATATTCATAATCTACAGGTAAAATATCACAACAGAGGTTAAATTTGACTGTAGCTTTAAGATTGAACTTTTTTTTATGTATTTCCTTTCTTTTCCTTTTATGTAGCACTTCAAGAGGGTTATGTAAAGTGCACCTTATATGATATCCAAAATTATCAGACTAAAATTTTTTGTGTATGTGTGATTATTATTATCATTACCTCCAACTTGATGGCTTAGAAATTTATTTATTTTTTACAATTGCTCTCAAAAATCCCAGTAAAACATGTTTAATGGAAATAAGGGGGAAACCAAATCCTTTCGCATCGTTTTAATCTTTGGTCCCACAATCTTCGCTTTTAGCACATCCCCCCCGCTAGGCAGTTTCACACTCTTTTGTTTGTTGTTAAAGCTTTATGTGGAGTTTAATTTAAACTACTTTTACTGCTAGAAGCTGTTCTTATCAGTTTTGGCTCTGGATTGAATTGGGAAACCTTGATCACATAATAGCTCTGAACCCCAGCACTTGGTGCCTCAATAGTCAACAAGCCCTCCTTCCAAACAGCAGATAGGCAGTGGAGAGGAACCAGTCCCTTTACAACACAAGATGTGGGTCATCATTTCACATATTTAAAAATTTGAACTCGTGGAACTTCTTTTTGTTCCTTTTTTGCTACTGCAAAGTTTTAAGCCCCACGGTGTTGTTAATTCGGTGAAGGGTGGAGTTTATGCTTCCCCCACACAGAGCTGCTGGTTGGGAGTTAAGGAGTTCATCAGTGAGAGAAGATGATTCCCAGCAGAGAGAGAAAGATGAGAAAAATCTTCCCCAGGCTGCAGATCTTTGCTTGTTAACACTAAAACATTTCCATGGCAGAGTTAAAATGGTGCTAAAGCTGCAGAGAGTAGCAGGATAGTGGGCAGTAACACCAGTAACATTGACCCAAACCCGACGATTCTCCCAGAGTTCAACTATTTTGGCGCTGTTGAAGTTTGGATCAAACCAGCTTGCTGTTGTGATTTTGCTGGAGCTGCATCACTCTGAGCTGCTCTGTATGTCAGAGCCGTCACTCCGGGCTCATTAAGATTCTCCCAACACCACCTGCTCTGATCGTTGAGGCTGAGAACACATAGAAACACGCAGAGACCCACAAAAACCTGCAGGAACCGCTAACAGGATGCACAGAAATACAGAGAAACACATAGAGACCTACAAAAATCACACAGAGATCCAAACAAGGCTTGTTCAAATATACCAAGACTCTGGGACACGTTTATGTATTTAGTAGATACTTTAATCCACAGCAACTAACAAAGTAAAAACAATGTTACAATGAGGTAGGCATTAGCGTGAAGAATGTTGCCAAAGGACCCTGGCAGCTCATCCCCCCTAGCAGGGATTTGAACCAGGGCTTCCTGTGTGCAAGTCAGGTGACTTACCACTTGAACTAGCAAGCTGCTGATACTCAAAGATTTGCACTGAACCAACAAAAACACACATATATCCCCCCAAAAATACACAGAACACACTGAGAAATACACAGAAACTCAGGGATTAACCATATTATCAATCAGTCCATAGATGTTTTTGTTTCAAGCCTGTAAAGGATGGTTGGACAACAGGAGGATAATGGAAATAATGGAGCCTGAACAGAAATTATAGAAAAAACAAAGCTTTTAATAAATCAAGCAAACACAAAAGCATTCACAAGAAAGATGGAGTCCAGCGCTAACATGAACCAAACCTTCATGGCCAATCAGCTTAACCCTGAATAACTCAAACATTTTTCTCGCTGTTATGATACATGATTCAAACTTTACTTTAATTTAACTTTATTTTAAACAGCTCCAACCTGAAGGCTTCTCCTCATGTTTAACATTTAAAGAGCAAACATGACGAGCTCCAACGGAGTCAGCATGGAGGATGGAAGCAGAGCATGAATTATTGATCCAGCATCCCTCTGACATGATGGGAAAACTGCAGCTTCAAAACGACGATGAAGGAGAGCAGCATGTCTGGATCCCAGACCAACCTGATCCACAGTGTTAATCAACACCACTGGGAAACCTTCACCAAGGGTTGGTACTTTAAACTGGGCAGCAGGTTGTCTTTACGTCAGGTAAATAATTCAGACTCTGTGATAATAAATAACTTCCTCCTGCCTCCTTGCTCAGCTCCTCAATCTTCTCACTGATTCTACTCCTTGATTGTGACCAGGTTAGTGTCCAACACCGAGGCATCTCCCAAAGACTGCAGTGTCTCTATCCTCTGCTTTGCTATAATGTAGCTAATATAATGGAAGGAGGTCCTGTTTTATCCTGTTTTAAATGGGTTCTAGCTCCTCCATATTGAACAGTCCAAGTTTGGACCCACAGCTTGTTAGCAGCTGTCCTGTCTGAGCAATGTTGGAGAAGCAAACAATCCATTAGATCACGAATGTTCTCTACAAAGCTGTGGAGACTCTGGACACTCTAGTCTTCATGTCCATCTTGACCTTCTGCTGAAACCATAAAGGTTCCACAGACCACCCCCTCATTGTTTCATCTCTCTCATTGGATAAAATCTTATATAACGGAAAACATTTAGCCATAATGGCTAACTCTTTCCATCAATCAGTCAATTAGTCCCTCAAGCTTGTTTCTTTAAAACACAGCTGTTTTTACTTAAAATATTCTATAAAAGTAAAATGATTGGTTGCTTTAATAAATTCTATCTGAATAGTGCTGGTAGTTAGGAAATAGCTATTGCAGTGTGCTTCCCAGCACCATACAGTTATAATAGGGACTTTCTCACATCCCTAGCTGCAGGGAGGAGCTATATGGTTGCCCATAATCCCTTGCATAACAAAATCTGTAAATTGTTTTGGATTAATCACAGCAGTCTAGACTTCCCTACCTGCCCTGGATAGAGTGCTGACCCTGCGAAAGGTGAGGGGATAGAAGCTGGGAACAGGAGGTAGGAGCTACAATTTGTCTCAGACACAGCTTTACGCTCTTTTCCTCTTTTCCTCTTTTCAGTACAGATTATTGCAGTGATCTGGATCTAATGAGGATATTCCTGGAAAAAATCTCAAGTTATCCACACTTCTGAACTTCATCAAATTCCTCCTCATCCACAGCATTCCTGCAGATTCAACACCTCACTGGTAGCTTTCATGTCTGAATTGTTATTTCTATTAAGGTCTTTACTGATTCATTGCATTGCTTCACAAGGATTAAATAGGACTCTATGGTGGGAATACAGTAAGCCTGAAGATAAGCTGAGTTAGAGCCACTTCACACAAAACAAACACCCATTAATAATAATCTTGATACACTGCTGAGGAACTCACCAGATCCCTGAATAAACCATAGCTGGGTTTAAATCCAGAGGAACCGAACTCCAGGGTAAGAAATACACCAGAACCCAAGACCACTGGTTTGAGCTGATTTCTGTGACAAATCAAAGCTCCCGATTTTAACCAAAGATTTCAAACAGCCAGAACAAGATTAAGCAGAACTCTACAGGACCAGAGCTGAGCCCAGACTCAGGCAGTTAAACCAACCCGTCAGCCATTTATCCCAGAACTCCAAAGTCCTTTCTAAATGTTCCTGCACATAAAAACTGCTTAAGGTTTGGTTCAGCAATGAGCGAAAAATTTGATGTAAAAGAAGGTTTCTGGAGTTAGCGTTCTGCTAAAATACTAATATGAGGACAGAGCTTTGGAATCCTTTTTAGCCCATTTAACCTGAATCCCAAAGTTTTGTGTTTTAATAGACGCAGAATGAGCCATTGTGTGAGGAATTCTGTTAGTTTTCAGAGGACTCTCACACCAATCAGTTTGAATGAAAGCGGTGCATCAGTCCTATATCACAACAAACCACAACATGGACTGATGCACTTGGTGTAAAAGGGTACAGCAGTGACACAGCAGCCTGGTTCCATTGGTTTTTAAATTATCTTTTACCCTCCAGGAATCAGCAATCTGACGGCGAACAGAGGCAGACGCTTCTTTCCTGTCTCTCTATCAGTCATCAAAATAAGAGGGTGAAATGTGGAATATGTTTGTGGTAAAGCTCTCAGAGTGTGGCTCACACAGACGTCACCCTCCTCCAGGTTCTGACCCGTTACGTAACATCACATCACCCCACACATGCACAGAACCCAAGCAGAACGGACTGAAAAAATTAAACAGAATAAATCCCACCTGGTTCCTTTATCTCCCATCCTGACGACACCAACGAGCCGACGGACACAGAGAGATGGAGGAGGAAGAGGAGCAGAAGCAGCAGCCGGGAGGAGGAGGGGGAGGAGAGTTGGGGGGGATGCCGTCACCGTGGAAACAGAGGGGAGGATGTCTCTCTCTGTATCTCTCAGGAAGCCGTCGTCATGCTGTCAGATTGACTTCAGAGGGAGGAAAAACCACCTTCTGATTAGAGTGAATGCAGCACCATGAGAAGCTGTTGCTCCTCCTCTTCCTCCCCCTTTCCCTCCTGGTCCTCCTCCCCTCGGTGTCTCCCTCTCCTCCTGTCAGCATCATTAGCACGAAGATGTGTTAACACATGAGACACCCCAAGGACACATTTATATTTCTGTCTCTGCCTGTAGCATCCTGCTGCCCTCCGACCCTCTGACTGACGGAGGAAAACAAATTATATTCAATTAGATTTTACCTCCAGGGATCCGGTTTAAGAAGCACAAATGTTAACAAACAGAAAAACCGATCAGAGCTGCAAAATTTACTGAAAGAAAATTAAAAAAAAATTTTTATATTAAATCAGAGCATTGTTCTGTATCATTAATGCTTTTGATATAAAAGCATTAACTTCACAATTGGCTTTTTCTTCCAATGAAAATGAAGTTTCATCTCTCTCTTCCAATCATATGTATGTAACTAAACAGTTGCTTTTATCCACGCCCTAAGGTGCACCACAGGGCTTGGTGTTAGGACCTTGCTTCCTCTTTTGGCTTCATATCTCCCTACATAAGGACCTGCTACAGGAACTAAGCTGAAAATCAATTTTCATGCTTTTAAAGTTTTTTTCTGCCGTATTTTTCTGCTCTGATGACACCTCCCTACTAAAGCTCCAACTGATGCAAGTTGCAGATTCCCTCACTGCAAAGAAGTGTTGAGCACCTAGAAGCGATGCTGTACAATGAAAGTAATTTGCTTACTGATGACGATGAGAGACCCTTTTTCAAAAATGAAGGCAGTAGTGCCGTATCAAAGGTTCAGATCTCAAAGCATCCGTTCTATTAATGGGCATAATAAGTGTTTTACATCCATGCCATTATTTTCACAGTTGTTTCCTGCTCAACAAGTTTTTTGTTGTTTGTTTCATTCTTACAAAATGTCTGTAGGTGGATGAATATGTTTTACTTTTTTTCCTGTTCAGTTTCAAATTTCCCCTTTATCTTTACTAACTGTTCAGTTTTTGCATCCCCATTGACAAACAATGGCAAGGCAAGTTTATTTGTAGCACAATTCAGTACATGGACAATTATAAGAACTTTACATGAATTAAAAAGTAAAATAGAAGGAAAATAAAAGCAAATGAAAATTTAAAAAAACATGTAAAACAAATAAGCTAATTGGACCACAACCGTAAACTAATAAAACCTCAGTTAACAGTTTAACTTCTACAGTCAAAGGCAGCTCTAAACAAATGTTTTTTAAATTTGACTTAAAAGAACTCAGGCTTTCACAGCACTTTTCCAGTCTTCTGTGAGTTTGTAGGTGGAGCATAGGAACTAAATGCTGCTTCTCTGTGTTTGGTTCTAGTTCTGAGTGGACAGAGTAGACTTGAAGTCACCTAAGTGGTCTGGGAGGACAGTAATGCAGCATTTGTACTTCAATATTCGACACCTCTGCTTTTAACAGGAAGAAACCTCCAGCAGAACCAGACTCAGTCTGAACAGTAATCTGCCAAGGCTGACTGGGATTCAAGGGGCAAAAGGCAACTGTAAACCAGCTCCACAGGGGCGCCATCCAGGAAACACACAGCCAGGCAGACGAGCTCCGAGCCAGCTCCCATGTCAGAGGATGATGACTGCACATCCAGCCATTCACAGTCAGAAAAACAGGACTACACTGAAAAACAGGCCAATTTCAAACATTTATTAACCTGCAAACCTAAGGTGTTGATGGCAGCAGCACAACTGATATTTCTCTCCAGGATTGTGTCACAGCCAAACAGAAACAGACTAGATGAAGCTACTATGAGAAAAAGCAGAGAAAGCTGAATCTTAGACATTGAACTATCAAATTCTGCAGAATGGGAGAATGGAGATAGAATTAAATCTTTTTTATAGAATGAAAAAGGGGTCCCTATGTCCTCCAGCAGTCTAAGCCTATATCAGCATTACTATTAAGATGGCTCAGGATAACCTGAGACCCTCTAACTACAAGCTTTATCAAATAGGAAAGTTTAAGCCTACCCTTAAAGGGGAACGCC